TTATCTTTTATCACAATCTATTGTTTTTTTGTTTATTTTATTACGTGCATTAAATCTGGACAGAACAGATGCATTTGAGTATAGAAAACTGTTCTACCAGTGGCAAAACAAAAGCGTTTGAGGACAGAGAGCTGTCTTGGTAACCTCATTACAGTTGGGTTGCTCTAAATTATGTTACATGATCGCTATTCAATGAACAAATGTAACTGAACAAAACAAAACAAAACAAAATTAGCCTTTTAAATAAAATTAACAAATTAATGGACACAGATAAAGGGGCCTTAAAACCAATTTGAAAATAATTAGATTATCAAACCATGAAAAAAATGCTCTGATTTTCACTGATGGCCCAAGTGTAAAATGTAACAGTCCAGAAACAAGATTACAAAGCATTTCACTTCACACACAACACAGCTCAGATGTACAGTACCAGTACTATCTGCAGATAGATAAGCTTTAGATCTGTCTGGGTGAATGAATACACAGGGATCTATTTTTAAGGAAAATACCATTTAAAACAAACTTGTAAAATCTGTACAGCAATGCTGAACTGCAGTTTTGCAGTAGCTATAACAGATGGCCTACCATCTTCCATATGACAGGTTGAGATGACACAGATACTGACTTAAAGGGTTCCTCCAACTACCATGACCATTTCTGCTTTTAGAAGTTGTGATGGTGGTTGGAATCTGTCTGTGCAACTCTGTTCCAGGCTGCCTGATGTTAATTCTGTGAAAAAACAATGTCTGTTGTCATCGCAGGTTCAAATTCTGGCAGGGTTGACTCAGCCCTTCATCCTTCCAAGGTAGATAAAATTAGTACTATTAAATTGGGTAATAGTTGGGCAAAAGTAACATACCCAGGACGTACTTGGAAACCAGAGCAATCTGAATATACCTTTCCTGGTTAAATACTTTATTATTATCACGCACGGCACGCTTGCAACAGGTATTATAAGCTACTGGAGAGTGCTCGTTGCACACCTACAATATGAATCTTCAATGCCCTCACCCCCCCCTCTGTCCCCACCTCCTCCTTGTTTTAGCCCTCCCATCTGTCCCCACCTCCCTGCATCGCTTAATGCTCTTTTTAAAATTATATCTTGCGTGGCTACTAAAAAAGACTGGACATACCCCACTTGCAATACCTTGGGTTGTGTACGTTTGCAAATGGTGTGCCATCATGTGGGTAATTCTCATTCCTGGGCTACCATACCGTCTCAAAGGTAACATTACTAATCTGGCAAATTTTATTGGGAAAAAAATGAAAAATGGAATGTGCTATATTTGACCCTGTAACTTTCCAAAACACCATAAAATCTGTTTATTGGGGGTACTGTTGTACTTGTGAGACTTTGCTGAATACAAATATGTGCATTTTATTGCAGTAAAAGCTAATAGTATTATGACATTTACAGCTAAAATGGCAGGCAGAACTACAAATTTTTAAAAAAATCTTAATTTCTCACAGATTTTTTTATTTTATTCATAATAAATTATGTTTCATATAAGAATAGTTCATGAGTAATTAAAGCTCTGTTTCTCCTGAACAAAATCATATATAATAAGTGTGGGTGCACTTAATATGAAAGAGGTGAATTACAGTTGAACAGACACATAGCGCAAATTCAAGGTTTTGTTTACATTTTGTTTTGTTCAGAACGTGTACTATTGACCCCATCCTGAAGGGGTTAAGGAAGCGGTTCAAAGTGCATGTGTTTTTATATATTATTTTTGTTACGTGTAATGGTTTTATATGAAGGAGTATATTTTTTAAAATTTTGTACTTTAGAGTCCGGTATACCAATACATTATGTATTCTGTGAACACAGATGATCAAGCAATATTGTATGATCACGTATAAAGTTGCAATCGAATCCTTAGTCAGACTCTGCACATATCATTTCAATTTGCAGTCTTTTCCTGGAACCTTGCATAACATTAATTATGAGGACCGTCTGTACTTTTGTATCATCCTTAAAATGAGAATGAAAGAGAATAAAAGGTGAGCCAACAAGTCAGAAATTAAGAGGTCTGACAAAGAGTCGCATGTTAATGCAATAATTGACTAATTTAATTTAAAAAAAGCCAAATGGATGGTATTATAATTTGACATATTAGAGACAAATATTTAGGAACTCACAGTTTTCTCATTGACATTCAACACGTCCACCAAAACTGTATCTTCAATAAAACTGTTTCCATAGTTATCATCATTTTGTTTACCTGATCATTCACCGTGTCAACATTAACCAATGGTCACGAATAAAGACAGGAAATAGAACTCTGAACTCAGTATAAATAGAAGCCGCAGCTCCCTTTTAGTCAGTCTTGGTAACAAGCTTAAAGGACCACTCTAGGCACCCAGACCACTTCAGCTTAATGAAGTGGTCTGGGTGCCAGGTCCCTCTAGGATTAACCCTTTTTTTTTATAAACATAGCAGTTTCAGAGAAACTGCTATGTTTATGTTAGGGTTAATCCAGCCTCCAAATCCTCTAGTGGCTGTCTCATTGACAGCCGGTAGAGGCGTTTGCGTGCTTCTCACTGTGAAAAATCACAGTGAGAAGACGCTAGCGTCCATAGGAAAGCATTGTAAATGCTTTCCTATGAGACCGCATTCAGCCCAGAAGGAGGATCGGAGGCGGAGAGGAGGAGGAGAGCTCCCAGCCTGGCGCTGGAAAAAAGGTAAGTTTAACCCTTTTCCTCTCCCCAGAGCCTGGTGGGAGTGGGACCCTGAGGGTGGGGGCACCCTCAGGGCACTATAGTGCCAGGAAAACGAGTGTTTTTCTGGCACTATGGTGGTCCTTTTACGCCCATAATGCTGCCGTGGTGACTGATCAAGAAAAGAAACATATCATGTGGACAGGAAACCATTCAATCAAATGTTTAAATACTGGTAAAAGGTATTGAAAAACATTAGACTCAAAATCATTAGATACTGCTGATCAATAGAAATAGGTTATCTGCAATAAGCAGGGCACCAATGACATGGAGGTAACCAGAGACATTAAAAACAGACAAGCATAAACAATTACTGATGATAGGAAGCTGCTGTTTATGACAGCAAGACATGCTTATTCTCATCTTGTCCTGAGATAATTATAAAGGGCTTATCGTTGAATGGCAGATCCTGTTGTTGGTAATAGATTATTTCTCAACATGTTTTCTCTGGAAAGATATGAACAGTATTCCACAAATATAATTCATAAAAGTTACGTCATACAAATGGCAGGAGTGAACATCATCTGTATGGATCTAAGCCCAGTGACCATGCGAAAAATGTGAAAGCAACAGAGAGCAGTAACTAATTTTACATAGACACATAAAGCATGTAACATCATCCATATATTTAAAATTTATATTTGATATTTTGTTTAAAAGGCATCTGCTATAAAATGTAAACAAGTTATTTCAAGAAGCCCCAGGAGGATATAAATGTAGTTTATACAATAGTACCTAACACCTTAATCTATTGGCAGGAGAGCCCTGATAGTGGCATGCCCAGAAGAGTACTCTATCAGAAGTGTACATCGGATCTAGCCACAAGTTAGAAGTTTCTCTTATTGTTCTGGAATCAAGCATCACTTGATGAATTTTTAACCTTGAAGGAAAGTCTGTCAATGCTCACCATCCCTGGTATGACATTTTAAAGTGGAGCATATCTTCACTACCGTAATTTTTTCATTGGGGGGCTAAGCTGCAGACTGCTGAGAACCACACATCTCTGCCAAATTGTGGATTAATAGTTCAACAGAGATATGGGACGGGACGCAAACGGATTCCAGGCACCGTAATTATTTCATGCATTTGAAGTGCTTATGGTGCCTACAGTGTCCCTTTAACTAAGCTCTAGTGGCTATGTTGCTTAGGTTGTCATTTTAATAAACTTACATGTAGCAGCACAGAAAACAACTCTTTTAATAGGAAGTTACTTTTACTGTGATCCTGCTGCTTATACATTTACAATGATACTGTTATAAAAAAAAAAAAGCAATTTTAGTGTCCACATTAAATTGGAAATATACTAGCTGAGAGTGATGTAGTATTTCACAGAATAGGAACCAGGCTCTCATGCACATAAATCAGAGCAGCGTTTTAATCTGAAACTGCCTCTAGGAGTCTAGTCTGTAGTGTACCTTTAAGAAGACTGAGATTGTGAGCGTGAAGAAATTAGTGATATTCTAATGAAAAGAGCCTTTTTTGTTACCAAAAACATAATTTTAATCGGATTGCTGACAAATATTTAAACGTTAGATCACCTACAGTCACAGCTTTCAGGTCCACCCTCTAAATTGGTTTTCAAAATCCGTATTGGAATTCCTCTCACACAAGCCGACACAGATCGAGAGGTTAATCTACCTTTAATTTCAATTACAGGCTGTACATTTCCCATAGCTAATAGTAATAACGGATCAGATTTTACATAATATTTAATTTAAAATCGCTACTGAGGATGGACCATTGCTTCCATCCATACTTGATAATGATGAGGATGTAGATGATATTTCAGTTAAAAATAGTTTTTAACTAAATGCATTACTGAAGCTTTACTTTCTTCTAAATTGGCTTTACAATAAGACTTCAGCAGAGCTACATTAAAGGACAACTATCACCTCAAAAATGTTTTTAATATAATATTCCTCTTATCATGTAGTGGAAGGAAAGAGATTTTTATTTAAAAGAAGTATGTGTAAAAAAACAAAATGAGAAAAACTCACCCCCACCTTTAGTATATGACAAGATCCTTCAGCCTCCAGCCTTATGCATGCCGCATGCACCTCTGTTCGGACAGTGTTTTAAAACCAACTGTCTGTCACTGTGATCTTCCCTGCCTCACTCTCTGCACAAAAGCACCAAAGACCAGAGAGCCTGTCAGGGCCACACTGGGGATACAAAGCAGCCCTAGAAAAAAAAATCCATGCCAGCCCCATAAGTCATTTATATTATAAAAAGAAATATACACTGTGCCACGTATTATCACCTGTAATATGCAAGGCTATGTCTTGCCATCCCAGATGATTGAGTAATATATAAACACATTATATATATATATATATATATATATCTATATATATATATATATAAACATATATATTCATTATGTGTATATATATTACCCAATCATCTGGGGTGGCAAGACATAGCCTTGCATATTACATGTGATAATACATGGCACAGTGTATATTTCTTTTTCTGATATAAAATATTGGTCCTTTCAGAGTAAAACATCTAATGATACAGTAAGCATACTCGTATGCAGACATAGACAATCTCACGGACACACACAAGCTCACTGATTCACAACCTCATAGACAAACAATCTCACTGATATACATAAGCTCATTGACATAAAAATACAAGTTCACGGATGCACACAAATAGGCTCACTGACAGACAATATCACTTACACATACAGACAAGCTTATTGGTATACACACACACACGTAGTATCGACAAACTCTGACACACACATGCTCAATACTCAATTAAAGGAATTTCATATTAAAATATTTTCGAGATGGCAGTTGTCCTTTATTTATTGGCCAATCAAGTAGTTGCTTTTAAATTATCAGAAGGTTGTTTTGTCTACCTTGATGAATTAAGATATTTTTGACCTCCCAATTCCAAAAATTTAAAACCTGGAAAATTCAAACTTAAAGGGACATAATAGTCACCAAAACAACTTAGTTTAATAAAGCAGTTTTCAGATCATACCTCTGAATTTTCACTGCTCAATTTAGTGTAATTTAGGAGTTAAATCACTTCTGTTTTTGTTTATGCAGCCCTAGCCACACATCTCCTGTCTGTGACTGACACAGCCTGCATGAAAAAAAGATAAATTTTTTTGTTCACATGTAAATTACTTTAAACCTTTTTATCTGCTGCTCTGTGAATTGACCTTGGAGGCTCCTGTAGTGACTATCAAGCTATTAACAGAGAAGGAGATAAGGAATTCAAAATTAAACAGAATGTACAATAAAGGAAATGTAAATATTAGAATTGTTTAGGAAAGCTGTAAAAGTCACATGCAGGGAGGTGTGGCTATGGCTTCACAGACAAAGTGATTTTACTCCTAAATGGCAGAGAATTGAGCAGTGACACTGCAGGTGCACGATGTATACAGCAAAACTGCTTAATGAAGGTAAAGTTGTTCTGGTGACTACAGTGTCCCTTTAAAATGTCATATTCCATAACTAAATAATCTATCCAAGAACTAAAATGATCTGTAGCTAGAGTTATTTTACTGATATATACAAGGAGATTTTACATTCTAATAATTCTTTTGAATAGAGGACTTAAAGTTACACATCTCAAGAATCGTCCTTAGATTTTCAGTTCAATAACATGAAAGCAACAGAATAAATGGCGCAGGACGGAAAGTTATGTACACCATGGTTTGTAGCAAAATCAAAACCTCAGTTAAAGATTCATACATGCGATAAACTGCTACTAGTGCAGATGCTACCAGACAAGTGGATATAGAAACTAATCCGTAAGGGTGTTCCTGTTCCCTTAATAAGGTTTCCAGTGGAGACTGTACCTAAAGCAAATCAGACAAGTTCAGTTTAGACATTTTTAGAAATGGAATTGAAGAGGAAAAGATAGAGTGACCAGGCATTAGAACATTTGAGAGGATAAGCTATCCTTTCCGTATGGCCAATACAGATGGATGCTAGAGATCAGTTCTAAACAGATTGAATGTGGAAACATTCAGAATGGAGATTTGATACATTATATTTTTTAATTGAAAAACAGATCCTCTGTAAATAAGAAACATAAAGCATCCTTTATTTTCAGTGTCTGTTGACCCAAATGACAGAAAATTCCTGATGTCCAAGGAGTTTATCAACTAAACTGTGAATTATTGTGAAAAGTGAAACCCAGATAGTTCCACCTCCCCAATTTAGGACCCCCAGGGGCCATGTGACCGCTCTAAAAGAGCAGTCACATGGCCACAATAGGTGTCCACAGTACTGCCAGCAGGGGGACTGCCTGAACTGACAGGCAGTCCTCCTGTTGGTGAAAAAGTAAAACAAAGTAAAAATAAAATAAAGTTTATAAATTAACAAATATATATGTATATCTTATATATAACGTCATACTAAGTGTATTTTTTTATTAATATAAAAATACACTTAGAGTAAAATTACGCAAAATTATAAAAAATAAATAATACATTTTTAAAAATCTGTAAAAATAATTTAAAATAAATTATATATACATATGTAATTTTATTCTAACTATATTTTGATATATACCAATCTAAACCAATCTGGCAAATTTCAGTGTGCAAACATGGAAAGGGGGAAATCCCTACATTTGACCCCTGTAAGTTTGAAAAAACCCATAAAACCTGTACATTGGGGGCACTGTTGTACTCAGAAGATGTTGCTGAACACATATTGGGTTGTTCTTTGTTAGTAACACATAACAGGAACTGAGAATTCATGCCTAAAGTACAATGTGAGAGAAAAATATACTTAGAATATTTGTACTGTTGTACTCAGAAGATGTTGCTGAACACATATTGGGTTGTTCTTTGTTAGTAACACATAACAGGAACTGAGAATTCATGCCTAAAGTACAATGTGAGAGAAAAATATACTTAGAATATTTGTACTGTTGTACTCAGAAGATGTTGCTGAACACATATTGGGTTGTTCTTTGTTAGTAACACATAACAGGAACTGAGAATTCATGCCTAAAGTACAATGTGAGAGAAAAATATACTTAGAATGAAATTATATATATATATAGATCTATGCTTATCCCCTTAACGATCGTGGACGTACTTGGTACACCCCACAAAAAAACGGTCGTTAAGGACCGCGGATGTACATAGTACGTCCGTGGCAAATAGGAGCCCTCGACTTACCTGGACTGGCGATCCACGGCGATCACGGTCAGGGGAGACTGCTGGAGACCCCAGCAGTCCCCCTGCAGCAGCTCACGCCACCCAGGCCCTCCAGGGCCATGTGATCACCATGATCACATTGCTGCAATAGGACTCTAAGAGCTGTCAGCAGGGGGACTGTCTGAACTGTCAGGCAGTTCCCCAGGCTGCTAAAAATGTTTTAAAAAACATAATAAAAAAAAAATATTATACATATACAGGTGGTCCTCATTTAGTGACCTACCTGTTTTACGATGGCTCGCACTTACGACCAGGCATAAGTGCGAGCCATCGTGGGAACTCCCTGCTCTGGTGAGCATGTCTATGTTCGGGGAAACTCAAATCTATGTTCGGGGAAATATCTGTAGGAACGGAACCTGGTCAGTAAGTGAGGAGTGTCTGTATTATATATGTATAATATTTAATAAAACAATTAAAGCATTTTATAATATTTTATACATATATAATGAATATATATGATTTCATTATATGTGTACTTTGAGATATATACACATATATCTCAAAATACACTTATAATGAAATCATATATATTCATTATATATGTATAATATATTATAAAATGCTTTACTAATATATTATACATATATAGGAAATAAAAGAGTGTGTATGTGTATATATATATATATATATATATATATATACACACATACATACACATCTATTATATTATATTATATATATATATATATATATATACACACACACACACACACACACGTATTATAAATATATATAAATATATATATATATATATATATATTTGTGTTAGGTGCTTAAGATAGTACAGTGTGAAATACCATGAATAAGCGTAGGATGATAAAAGGAGCAAGTCGGTTGTGGTGTGCCGAAACCGACGATGAGGTAGGCCTGAGAAAGAAGAGGGCCCACCCAGGAAAAGAAATAGAAAGGAAAATAAATGTTAAAAGTGGTGTGGTGGGAGGGTCATTCAACGCTGACCTCGAACGGTAAGGAGCCAGGCAAGGGGAGTGCCTTAAGTAGGCTAGGGGTGAAAACCAGCACCTCCCACAAATGCAGGCAAATTGCCTTAATACTTGTGTTAGGTGCTTAAGATAGTACAGTGTGAAATACCATGAATAAGCGTAGGATGATAAAAGGAGCAAGTCGGTTGTGGTGTGCCGAAACCGACGATGAGGTAGGCCTGAGAAAGAAGAGGGCAAAAATTAAGTAATCCAATTTATTAACAGACAACCAATACATATACATTTATCAACCAGACATGTTTATGAAAGCATCTCTTAACTCTTGTACTGGGTTCGGTATGTACCGTGAGTAAGCGGATGACTTCCAGCGCCCCAGTGTTTTGATAACATGAGTTGGGACGTTGAAACTGGAGGCTGTGGACGCGGCTCCTATACGAAAGGAGTGTCCTGAGTAATTGTTTGCGTTGAGGCCCAGTTGTGTGAGCAAGGACCTGACGTAGGTCATGAAGGTTGTAGTGGTGAGTACTGCACCTTGTAGTTGTAATAACGGTTGCGAGGGCAGTAAGTGATGGTGCTGTATGTAGGCATCAAGAACTTTTACGGGACACCATCTGTTGTGCGTGGGGTAGTACGGAATGTTTACAGGTATGTGCTGGCTGGTTTTGGAGTGAGGTAAAGACAGGATGTAATGATCCATATGTTTTGTCAAGTGGGAATAGAGGAGGAATGGAGTGGTTTGGGTCGTGGAGGTCGTAGTGAATTCTCTGGGTCGTAGAAATCCATAGAAAGCGATGTATATTGCTGTTTTGATGATAGAATTCGTATTAGTGTCAAACGGTTTCAGGTCGAGTAGGTTAGATAAAGCTTTGAAGATATGGTTATCTATGGGTAGCCTCTGGGCCAAATGTGTGGGTTCTGATTTTTGAATACCTCTGAGTATGGTCTTAATTTGGTGAGAGGCCATGAAACTGTTGTTATTTGGGTGTAAGATGAGCATGTGGTGTTGAATGCCAGTGAGATAGAGTTTGATGGTGTTATATGACAATTTGAGTTTAAGGTGGCAAAAGGAAGCAAACCCCAAAAAAGATGTCATAACAAACGGTTGTATGATGTTATGTTCCAGAAGGAATCGTTTGAATAGTGTGAAAGCCCTGTTGTATGTTTTGTTTGTATTGTGTGAAAGTGCCAACTGAGACAATGTCCTGCTATGCTGCATGATGACGTCTAGTCCAGTATGAGTTGTTGAAATGTTGGAGTGATGGTGGCTGTGGGTGCTGCTGACGG